AAATAGGGTCATTGGGAGATTTAGAGTTTTTATTGGAGAAAATATAAAATGAAAGTCCTTTTTACATTCTAGTGAAAGATAAATTTACTGTAAAAGCAAAGACATTTCATCCTATGCAAGATCGATGTGGTGACGTGACGCTCTCCCTGGCCGGGCCTAAGCCGTGCCAGACGAGGGATGGCCATTCATGGCGAATGGGCTTGCTCTTCTCGCTCTGCCCGCCGGCCCCTCGCTTCTCCTGCCCGCCCATTGGCAGTGCCTGGAAGGTGCAGCATCTTCCGACTGTGCTCCCCCGCAAAAAAAAAAAAAAAGAGAGAGAGAGACATTTCATCCTAGGCTTAGACTCTCCCTTGATTGTACTATAGGTGATAATTCTAAGCTGTGAATAAGTAGTTTTCTTTTTTCTCATATTTAATTTTATTTGTTGTTATTATTTATTCCTCACTTTTTCAGAGAAAGAGAGAGAAAGGGAAAGTGAGAAAGCAAGCTGCCAGGTCTGGCATTCAAACTGCAGTTGGCCATGTGGGAGTCCAGTCTAACCACTTCACCACCTGATGGCCCTAGTAATTTCCTTATATCATCCAAAGTTAGTTTTTAAAAAAAGTCTTGGAACCCAAATAGTTTGGTAGCCACAGAAAAAAGAACTTGGTCATATATCTCTCTGTACAATATGAATAGAAATTTCCCTACCTATCATGTTAATATATGTCTATTGGAAAGAGAATGAGGTTTATGTTTGTTTGTTTTGTAAAGAGAGTTTTGCTATAGGTTGCTTGTGCTAGCCAGAGAGAGGCAGAGAGACAGAAAGCAAGAAATCGCCCCCGGGGAGGGGGGGATTGCCACACCACAACCCCTTCTCCATTTTTCCTCTTGAGATCTTGAGGATGTGTGATTTCAAGCCGCTAGATCCACAAATAATGCCTGGCTTGAATTTAAGGTGCTGCATCCAGGACTCAAACTGGGGTCTACTATGTGAGAGCCTAGCAACATAACCATTATACTATCTGCTGGTCTCTTTTTTATTTTATTTTTTTATAAGAATTATTTTATCCAACTTTATTTATTTATAATTATTTAATTTTATTTATTATTTTTTATTTGATCAGAGAGAGAGAAAGTGAGACAGCAAACTGCCAGGTCCAGGATTTCAATCGTGGTCGACTATGTGGGAGTTCAGCACCTTAATCTCCATGCCACCTGGTGTCCCCCCCCCAACTTTGTTATTATCAATATTCAGTTTGACCAGAGAGAGACACAGGGAGAGAGGGAAAGTGAGAAAGCAAGCTGCCAGTTCTGGGACATGAACCATGGTCGGTTGGCTATGTGGGATTCCAGTGCCCTTAACCACCATGCCACCGCCTATGTGAGAATGAGATTTATGTTAAAGCAGATCTTGAAAATTGCTTGAAAAGAGTCACTAGGATAAATGGTATCCATTCAAGAAGAAATTAATTTGGGCAGGATTATTTGTGGTAAGAAGGTTGGTTAAAGGGTTCTTTTAAGCAAAACTGGAAAATAGCAGAATTGTGATCCAATTAAATGAACATTTGGCAGTACACCAAAAGAAATACCTTTCATTCAGTACTGGCCCTTTCGTTGGGTAATTTTGACCTTGGACAAATACTAACTTTTCTATGCCAGAATTTCCTCATCTGTAAATGAAGATCATACTGGTCAGTCCGTTCCACAACTTCATGTGATTACCAAATTAAGACCTAATCTGCTTTTCAGATACCTCTCACATATATAATATATATTTTCAAAAATCCTACAGTGTATACAAATGAATTCTTCTGTAATATTTATCACTTTCTTCTTTCTTTTGCTTTAGTCTTTCTACCTGGCTAGCCTTGTTCTTTTACCTGAATAGAAAACTTAACTTGGATTCAGCATTTGTCTTGGACTCACTTGGGGCCTTTAATAGTATTTTTTCCTGTTTAATTCATTTGCCAATTATTGATATGTTATATTTTAAAACATGGTCTGTTCCTGCTTTTAAAAATTTAATTACCACATTTTATAGCATGGTGAATTGGAGAGCATATGGTTTTTCTTAGGTGAAGTTCTTAGGCTAAGCATATGAGAGAGGAGGATTAGTTGGTGGCTTTGTCACTGAAGTCTCAGAGGAAGACTGAGATTGTATGCTGGCAAACAATGGTAAATTCAGCATTATCAAGTTCGTGAACACATATAAATAAAAGATCAAAAATGGGGAATAAGAAGACAGGAGGATTCAGTATTTGAGAATAGATCCCCCTGAGACAACATAATTCGGAGGCTGGTACGGCACCAATAAGAGCTGTTAATGGATAATGAACTGGTTCGGAGGTTAAGATATAACTTAAATTTCAGTTGAAATTGCAAATTCCTTTAAGGTAGTACTAAACACATACTAGTCATGACCATAAAGCAATTTTATCTAAATTGCAAATTCCTTTAAGGTAGTACTAAATGTGTATTTAGTCATGATCATAAAACAATCTACACCACTTCCTACTTTTCTTTTGTACTGATT